ACTGCTGCTGCGCGCCCCGCCGGCGCTCGTACTGTGGGTGCTGGAGCTGCTGAGTCTGAGAGTTCTCCTGGAGCTGGTCCTGCTGAGGGTGTTGGCGCTGAGCCTGCCGTTGGCGGCTCGACTGACAGTGCTCCTGGTGCTGCGGCTGGAGGTTCTGGTGCTGCTGGAGGTGCTGCTGGAGTGGGTGCTCCTGCCGGGGCTGCTGGTGCTGTTCCTGCTGTTTCTAGCGTCGCCGCGCGGCCCCGACCGTACTTCGTTCCGCTCCTGCAGCAGGTTCTTGGTCTTACACCTCCTCCTCCTCCCTTAGAGGGTCCGCAGCCTGTCCGGTCACAGCCACAGCTACAGCCTGCCTCCCCTTTGCCTGCTCCTTCTCCCTACTCTGGTCCTACTGGAGGTCTTACTGAGCGTCGTGAGCCTGCGTCTCGTCCTGTGTCGCCTGTTCGTACTGAGCGCGCTAGTGGTCGCGGGTCGCGTCAGCGTCCTCCTCCTGTCCTTGGCACGCACCGGATGTCACTGCGTCCGTCCACTGCTCCTCTGCGTGCCCCTTTGCCTTCTCCTCCTGCTTCCTCTCTTCCTGCTCTTGCCGACCCGGAGTCGGACTCTCTTCGTGCTGCCAGTCCTACTGTCACGCGTCTCCTTGCCACTGCTGTCACTGACCCTTCCTTCGAGTCGTCTGCTGCGTCTGCCCTTGTCACTGAGCTTGTCGACTTTGCTGCGCGCTGTCGTCTAGACTACGCTGCTCGTCTTGTCACTGAGTCTGAGTCCGCCTATCCTCCGTCCGTCGGGGGTGAGTGTGCCCTTGGCACGGACGTCCTTGAGGACAGGCAGGAGGAGTTCCAGTGTCTGGCCGCCGCTTCACCTCGTCTCGCGTCTGTACTGCTAGCCCCTGAGGGAGACCCGGATGCACCAGACATCCCGACTCCGCGCTCTTACGCGGAGGCGATAGAGGGTCCCTACTCCTCTCAGTGGCAGGCAGCTATGGATGCAGAGATGGCTTCCTGGAAGTCCACAGGCACCTACGTTGACGCTGTTCCCCCTCCTGGGGCAAACATCGTCAGTGGCATGTGGATTTTCAGGGTGAAGCGGCCGCCGGGTTCTCCGCCTGTCTTCAAGGCGCGTTACGTGGCTCGTGGCTTCAGTCAGCGGCAGGGGGTTGACTACTTTCAGACCTTCTCCCCCACCCCGAAGATGACCACTCTTCGGGTTCTGCTACACGTTGCTGCTCACCGTGACTACGAGCTGCACTCTCTCGACTTCAGCACAGCTTTCTTGCAGGGCAGCCTGCACGAGGAGATCTGGCTGCGTCGCCCACCTGGCTTCACTGGGTCTTTCCCTCCTGGTACCCAGTGGAGTCTCCGGCGTCCAGTCTACGGTCTCCGCCAGGCGCCACGTGAGTGGCACGACACACTGAGGACTACGCTCGCGGCACTTGGGTTTGCTCCTTCCACTGCCGACCCGTCGCTGTTTCTGCGCACCGACACCTCTCTGCCGCCGTTCTACATCCTCGTGTACGTCGACGACTTGGTCTTTGCCACAGCTGACACTGCTGGACTCGCCTACGTGAAGTCCGAGCTGCAGAAGAGACACACGTGCACTGACCTGGGTGAACTGCGCAGCTACCTTGGCTTGCAGATCACCCGGGACAGAGCACGCCGCACCATTACCCTGACTCAGTCACACATGGTGCAGCAGGTCCTTCAGCGCTTCGGCTTCACGTACTCCTCGCCTCAGGCCACTCCTCTGCCTACTCGCCACTCGCTCTCAGCTCTGCCTTCGGATGAGTCCGTAGAGTCGAGTGGCCCGTTTGCAGAGCTTGTTGGCTGCCTCATGTACCTGATGACCTGCACACGACCTGACCTCGCATACCCTCTTAGCATTCTCGCACGCTATGTTGCTCCTGGGAGACACCGACCAGAGCACATGGCTGCAACGAAGAGGGTGTTGCGCTACTTGTGCAGTACGTCGGGCATGGGGCTAGTGCTTGGAGGGCGCAGTCCAGTGGTCCTCACTGGGCACGCAGACGCTTCTTGGGCTGACGACCAGGCTACGCAGCGGTCGTCACAGGGTTACACCTTCAGCCTTGGTTCCGGCTCTGTCTCGTGGCGGGCTACCCGCTCGTCTTCTGTTCTCGGCTCCAGTTGTGAGGCTGAGATCTACGCTGGGGCTATGGCTGCACAGGAGTTACGCTGGCTCACCTACCTGCTGACCGACCTTGGAGAGCAGCCTCGTTCTCCTCCAGTCCTGTACGTAGACAACAAGGCCATGCTGGCCTTGTGTCGAGAGCAGCGACTGGAGCACAGAACTAAGCACATTGCTCTTCGCTACTTTCTTGCTCGTGAGCTACAGCAGCGTGGACAGCTGCGACTTGCGTACGTGGCCTCTGAGGCCAACACTGCTGATGTCTTCACCAAGGCACTTGCGCCTTGTGATCATCAGCGTTGCTGCACGCAGTTGGGTCTTGTGCCTGTCTTGCCTCACTTGCTCTCCTCTTGACCTTGCTTGTACTTTCGCATATATATACTCTTGCTCTTGTATATCTCTATATATGATCTTGCATGTGAACTGGCCTTGTGGCCTTTGAACTTGTGCTCGGAATGCGTGGTGACTTTGTGATCCACCCTGAGCTTTGCTTTGCTTTGCTTGACCGGTCTTGTGACCCCTTGTTCTCCCCCACTTTGCCTATGGGGGTGTGTCAGAATTTATAGCTTACTTGTTTCTGTAGGCTATAGTGGGGTATCCCATAGGGGGTACAACCCAATTAGGGTTTCCTATTTGTACTCACTTCGTTCATAGTCATTCCACTCCTCGTTCGTACTTTCTCATAAGTTACATAACAAGTTATCTCCCGGTTCATTGTCTTGTAGTAGAAGTGTTAGCTAGGGTTTAGCTAGCTAGGCAAGAGAGAAAATGAACAAAGGAGGGGTTTCCCTAGCAGTAGTTGGGATACATATAGCAAACCCTAACAGGGTTGTACTCGCTATAGAGCACCCCACTACAGGCTAGATAATAACATTCTCACACACCCCCATAGCCAAAGTGGGGTGTAATCAGCAGAGTACGCAGTCATAGAGAAGGTTCACAATTGCAAGCAAAGCTAGAGGCTATCACAGAGGGCAAGTGAGGAGGAGGAGAGACTGTGGGGACGAGAAGATGGGAGGCGACTGCTGAAGGTGCAGACACACTGAGAAGAAACAAGAATGAATGAACTATGAATGAATTGGGTACAAGTACTAACCCTAATTGGGTTGTACCCCTTATGAGCTACCCCACTATAGCCTACACAATATGCATGAGCTATAATGTTCTGACACACCCCCATAGGCAAAGTGGGGGAGAACAAGGGGTCACAAGACCAGTCAAGCAAAGCAAGCTCAGGGTCGATCACAAAGTCACCACACATTCCGAGCACAAGTTCAAGGCCACAAGGCCAGTTCACATGCAGGAGTACATATATATAAAAAGGCTAGACAAGCAAGAGCAGGTATATATATATGTAACAGTACAAGCAAGGTAAAGAGGTGAGCAAGTGAGGCAAGGTAGGCACAAGGCCCAACTGAGTACAGAAGCGCTGATGGTCACAAGGCGCAAGCGCCTTGGTGAAGATATCAGCAGTGTTGGCCTCAGAGGCCACGTACGCAAGACGCAGCTGACCACGCTGCTGCAGCTCACGAACAAGAAAGTAGCGGAGAGCAATGTGCTTCGTTCTGTGCTCTAGTCGCTGCTCCCGACACAAGGCCAGCATGGCCTTGTTGTCTACGTACAGCACTGGAGGAGAACGAGGCGGCTCTCCGAGGTCAGTCAGCAGGTAGGTGAGCCAGCGAAGCTCCTGTGCAGCCATGGCTTCTGCGTAGATCTCAGCCTCACAACTAGAGCCAAGAACAGAAGACGAGCGAGTAGCCCGCCACGAAACAGAGCCGGAACCAAGGCTGAAGGTGTAACCCTGTGACGACCGCCGCGTAGCCTGGTCGTCAGCCCAAGAAGCGTCTGTGTGCCCAGTAAGGACCACTGGACTCTGCCCTCCAAGCAAAAGCTCCATGCCCGACGTACTGCACAAGTAGCGCAACACCCTCTTCGCTGCAACCATGTGCTCTGGTCAGTGTCTCCCAGGAGCAACATAGCGTGCGAGAATGCTAAGAGGGTGTGCAAGGTCACGTCCTGTGCGGGTCATCAGGTACATGAGGCAGCCAACAAGCTCAAGGTACGGGCCAGTCGACTCTACGGACTCATCCGAAGGCAGAGCTGAGAGCGAGTGGCGAGTAGACAGAGGAGTGGCCTGAGGCGAGGAGTACGTGAAGCCGAAGAGCTGAAGGACCTGCTGCACCATGTGTGACTGAGTCAGGGTAATGGTGCGGCGTGCTCTGTCCCGAGTGATCTGCAAGCCAAGGTAGCTGCGCAGTTCACCCAAGTCAGTGCATGTGAGTCAAGGCTGAAGGTGTGGGAGGCCAAACCCGACGCAGTACCTGAGAGAGAAGACTCACCAGCACCTGAGGGAGCAGACGCACGAGCACCTAGAGCAGCAGCCTCGCTAGCACCTAGAGCAGTAGCCTCACCATTACCTAGAGCGGCGGTCTCAATGCCTGGGTCAGGCGGAAAACACCGGTAACAGTCACCCTCATCATTAATAGTCACAGCATACATGGCAGCAAGAATAGCATCAAAGTCAAGGTCAAAGACAGCTACTCCCGCCCTAGACAGCTCACCCTAGCGGGGGATCTCCGTGGCCTCCGGGAACTGGTGACGCCAAGCGTCCGTCAGGCGGCCAAAGCATCGCTGGGTGGAGTGCGCACCCCCGCACTGCTCACCCGCGCAGTCGCCGGTGCGTAGGACGTAGGTGCACGGACCAGTACCCCCACCCCGCTGGCGTGCAGTGTACCACTCACAGAGCTGCTGAGGGGAGGGGATGTCACGAGTGCGCTGCTGCTGCTGCTGCTGCTGCTGCTGGCGCTCACCACCACCGGAGCCGACCCTCTGCGCTGCGCCACCTCGACCAGCTCCACCTCCTACGCCACCGCCTCCTCCACCGCCGCCACCTCCGCCACCACCTCCGCTCCAACCGCCACCGCCGCCGCCTCCGCCTCCACTGCCGCCACCGACACCTCCGCCCCCGCCACCACCCCCACCGCCACCCCCACTCTCTCCGCCGCCTCCACCGCCGCCTCCACCGCCCCCGCAAGCTCCTCCAGCGCCCCTGCCCCCCTTGCCCTTGCGGGGTAGACGCCGCACTGACCGACTCAAGCCCAACGAGGCCGGCCGCAGCAGCAGAGGCAACAGAGGGCAAAAGGGGGGGGGGGGGAACACACCTCAAAGATGGGGGTGCGAGGGTCACCACGAGAGGCTCCTACAGTGACTATGCTCTTCCCCGCTGCTAGGAGGGCCTTCTCGAGGAGGTCAACGGTGAGGGTGGTGGGGCAAACTGAGAGGAAGTGGTCTCTGACTACGCGAAGGGAGTTAGGGAGGCGGGTGACTATGTAGTAAAGAGTGATGTACATGGGGGGGGGGGTTCTTGGCGCAGAAGTCAGCAGGAAGCGCAGCGCGGTAGCGAGTGTCACTAGTGCGGACATGCGTAATGAGGTCAGCGACTGTGGGAAAGGCAGCAAGGTCAGGAAAGAGGTACGGTAGCATGAGGCGGCTCAGTGCAGCAGTGGCAGGGGAGGAGTAGCGTGCAACTACAGCGTCGTACAAGGTATGAGCACTCTTGTACTGGCTAAAGTGCGCACGCTCAGAGGTAGGCAGGTGGCGACGCACAGCAAGAAGTGCAGCAGCATCGCGCGTGGCCCGCTGTGAGGAGACAGTGGCGTCAGCATCAGCAGCAGGGGCAGGAGAGGCACCAGAGGTGAGGTCAAAGAGAGAGAGACCGTCCGCCCTATCGCACTGTAAGAGAAGCTGCAGGTCATCTATCCGGACGTCAAAGTCAATGGCCCGACCCTCAGCGTCAAAAGCGAGGACACTAGGGGTAGCCATGACAGCAGTAGACTAGCAGCGCGAACAGTTGGGTGAGGGCAACGCAGTGACAGAGGCGCTGCTCTTACCAGACAGGGCGGCTCGGGCGGCTCGGCTGCAGGTCAACTCGGCGGCTCGGCAGCTGGGCGGTAGGCGGCTCGGCTGCTGGGCGTCTCGGCGGCTCGGCTGCTGGGCGGCTCGGCGGCTCGGCTGCTCGGCGGCTCGGCGGCTCGGCTGCTCGGCGGCTCGGCGGCTCGGCTGCAGGGCGGCTCGGCGGCTCGGCTGCTGGGCGGCTCGGCGGCTGGGCGGCTCGGCGGCTCGGCTGCTGGGCGGTGCAGCGGCTGGGCTGCTGGGCGGCTCGGTGGCTTGGCGGCTCGGCGGCTCGGCTGCTGGGCGGCTCGGCGGCTCTGCTGCTGGGCGGCTCGTCGGGGCCGCAAAGGAGGCGGCGGAAGGGCCGCTGAGAGGGTGGCGTCCGGGGCCGCTGAGAGGAGGCGGCTGGGTCGCCGAGAGGAGGCTGCGGGGCTGCGGAGAGGAGGCGGCGGGGCCGCGGAGAGGAGGCGGCGGGGCCGCCGAGAGGAGGCGGCGGGGCCGCTTAAAGGAGGCGGCGGGGCCGCCGAAAGGGCGGCGACGAGGCCGCTGCAAGGGTAGTGGTGGGGCCGCTGAAAGAAGACGACGGGGCCGCTGAAAGGAGACGGCGGGGCCGCTGAAAGGAGACGGCGGGGCCGCTGAAAGGAGACGGCGGGTCTGCTGAAAGGAGACGGCAGCGCCGCTGAGAAGGGCGGCGACGGGCCGCTGAAGAGGGCGGCGACAGAGCCGCAAGGAGGGCGGCGTCAGGGCCGTGCAAGGGCGGCGACGAGGCCGCTAGTGAAAGGGCGGCGAGGGGCCGCAGGGGGAGAGCGGCGACGGGCTGCAAAGGGCGGCGGATCGGGGCCGCAAGAGCGGCGGATCGGGGCCGCAAGAGGCCGCTAGGGGGCCGTGAGGGCGGCTTGGGCGGCGCGACACGGCCGTTAGGGCGGCGCGACGCGACCGCTAGGGCAGCGCAACGAGGCCGCTAGGGGCCGCTAAGGGCGACACGACGGGGCCGTGAGGGGCCTAGCGAGGGCGCGACGGTAAGGAAAGCACACAAGGCGCGACTCGGGCCTAAGCGGAGCGCGCTCCGGGCAGGAAAAAAAAATTCGTAGTGGTGGGCCCTAGGAATCGTTCCCGTTAGGGAACCTGCTCGATACCATGAGAAGAAACAAGAATGAATGAACTATGAATGAATTGGGTACAAGTACTAACCCTAATTGGGTTGTACCCCTTATGGGCTACCCCACTATAGCCTACACAATATGCATGAGCTATAATGTTCTGACACACACAGGAGCTGCTGGCTCAGTGGCTACCAAAGCAAGGGCTCGGACTACAGGAGTAACTGGCTCCGCGGAGATTGTAGCCTCCTGACTGGAGCAACTGACCCACAGGCGACTGGCGACTTCCGGAGATTGTAGCCTCCGGACTACTGGCGCTGCTGACGACACGACGACTGCCTCCACTCAACCTCCCCCAGCTGCCCCACGCCCCTATCACACACCCCCTGCTGCACCCCTAGTTCCACTCCCACGACACCCCCCTAGCACCACTCCTTCGGCTCCCACACACCCACCCCCTTGAGCGGCAGCTGCAGCAGCGGGAGACGGAGGAGGAGGAGTAGAAGAACGGCGCACAGAAACTGCACCCCCATACCCCCCACCCCCAAACCCTAATTCAGGAGAACGGGCAGCAGCAGGGGTGGGGCGCCGTCAGAAGCACGGGGAAAGCGGGCAGCTCAGGGGCAGAGAGGAACGGGCCGCCCAGGGGCCTGGCACAGCCAGACAAACTGCGCGCAGGCAGCCCGAGCCGCGCGCGGACCTGGTGCAGCCCGTACGGGCCGCGCGCGGGCCTGGCACAGCCCGTACGGGCCGCGCGCGGGCCTGGCACAGCCCGTACGGGCCGCACGCGGGCCGGGCGCAACCCGTACGGGCCGCGCTCAGGGCTAGCGCAGCCCGCGCTGGCCGTGACGGGCGACCGGGGACGACGGGCTGGTCCCCGTCGCCCGTCGAAGCGCCCCGCGGGGGCGACGCGCGGACCGATGGGGCAGAAAGCCGCCGCGCACCTCGAGGCGCACGGCGGGCAGAGAACCGTTGCACGCCCCGGGGCGCACGGCGGGTAGAAAACCGCCGCGCGCCTCGGGGCGCACGTTGGGCAGAAAACCGCCGCACGCTCCGAGCGCGCGGCGGGAAGAAAAACTCGTCGCATGCCATGGGGCTTGCAACACACAGAGTAGCAGCAGAAGCAGTGAGGTGAGCCCACAGGCCAGGAGCGTGAATGCTCTGAAACCATGTTACAATAGTAAGCACAGTGAGGAGCCATAGCTAGGGTTTAGCTAGCTAGGCAAGAGAGGAAATGAACAAAGGAGGGGTTTCACTAGCAGTAGTTGGGATACATATAGCAAACCCTATTAGGGTTGTACTCGCTATAGAGCACCCCACTACAGGCTAGATAATAACATTCTGACAATAAGAGTATAATTGAAGAAAGATGCAATCCTATAAAGAATCGCCTAGCTGCTTCTTCAAATTCTATTGTAAAATCAGCAAAATATACAGCCTTCATGGCGATTGGATGATTTACATATCGATCCAATAGGGTGGTATGAAAAATACATGGGGTTTGATGATCCAAACGTTCTAATCCTGCCTTGGAGTTCAACAACAACAAACGTCTCCGAATATGATTGGTGTTGATGAACTCCCACGACATGAGTGCATTTTTTTGTAAGGAAGACCAAGAATAAAATATATCGCCTCTTGAAGGATGATTTCTTGCTAAATCATTATATAGTTTCCAAGACAACGAAGAACATATAAAACGCAAATACGTTATAGTGCTGCAATTTTCTTCGCATTTTCTATTATTATATTTTCCCTAAAGAGGGGCTAAGCATGGCTTTCCATGAGGCAACAATTACAGCCATTTGCAATGTACAAAATTTAGGTTGAGAGATGTTTGCAGCATTTGAACGAAATAGTTTCAAAGGTATTGGCGCGTTTCGGTGCATCGCATCCACTTTGCGCTCGCATGTTAGGGTGTAACTTAAGGCAAAAAAACAAATGAGGTGCTCCTCGTGTGAAAGGGCAGGGTCGGAAGCATGCCTGAGTTTGGGCTCGGTTGAACGACGAAGACCCCCGCATCCTTGGCACAATTTGAGGGCTGCTTACACAGTCACATACATTTGTCTTTATCAGGGCTTTGTCTTCTTCAGGGTACAATTTACAAAGCTTTGGATGTTTTGGATTCACCAGTTGTTAAACATTCAACTTAGGGGAGATTAGGTTTTGGAGCTACGGGGAGCACACTGTGTAAAAAAAATGTTATCGCACATCTTAGGTCAGTCAGCAGGTAGGTGAGCCAGCGTAGCTCCTGTGCAGCCATGGCCCCCGCGTAGATCTCAGCCTCACAGCTGGAGCTGAGAACAGAAGACGAGCGAGTAGACCGCCACGAAACAGAGCCGGAGCCAAGGCTAAAGGTGTAACCCTGTGACGACCGCTGCGTAGCCTGGTCGTCAGCCCAAGAAGCGTCCGCGTGACCTGTGAGGACCACTCGACGTCGCCCTCCAAGCACTAGCCCCATGCCCGACGTACTGCACAAGTAGCGCAACACCCTCTTCGCTGCAGCCATGTGCTCTGGTCGGTGTCTCCCAGGAACAACATAGCGTGCCAAGATGCTAAGAGGGTATGCAAGGTCAGGTCGTGTGCAGGTCATCAGGTACATGAGGCAGCCAACAAGCTCTGGGTACGAGCCACTCGGCTCTACGGACTCATCCGAAGGCAGAGCTGAGAGCGAGTGGCGATTAGACAGAGGAGTGGCCTGAGGCGAGGAGTACGTGAAGTCGAAGCGCTGAAGGACCTGCTGCACCATGTGTGACTGAGTCAAGGTAATGGTGCGCTGTGCTCTGTCCCGGGTGATCTGCAAGCCAAGGTAGCTGCGCAGTTCACCCAGGTCTGTGCACGTGTGTCTCTTCTGCAGCTCGGACTTCACGTGGGCGAGTCCAGCAGTGTCAGCTGTGGCAAAGACCAAGTCGTCGACGTACACGAGGATGTAGAACAGCGGCAAAGAGGTGTCGGTGCGCAGAAACAGCAACGGGTTGGCAGTAGAAGGAGCAAACCCAAGAGCCGCAAGTGTAGTCCTCAGTGTGTCGTGCCACTCACGGGGCGCTTGGCGGAGACCGTAGACTGGCCGCCGGAGGCTCCACTGGTAACCAGGAGGAAACGAACCAGTGAAGCCAGGTGGGCGGCGCAGCCAGATCTCCTCGTGCAGGCTGCCTTGCAGGAACGCTGTGCTGAAGTCAAGAGAGTGAAGCTCGTAGTCCCGCTGAGCGGCTATGTGCAGCAGCACCCGAAGAGTGGTCATCTTCGGGGTGGGAGAGAAGGTCTGAAAGTAGTCAACTCCCTCTCGCTGCCTGAAGCCTCGAGCCACGTAACGCGCCTTGAAGACAGGCGGAGAACCCGGCAGCCGCTTCACCCTGAAAATCCACATGCCACTGACAATGTTCGCCCCAGGTGGGGGAACCTTGTCGACGTAGGTGCCTGTGGACTTCCAGGAAGCCATCTCTGTGTCCATGGCTGACTGCCACTGAGAGGAGTAGGGACCCTCGATCGCCTCAGCGTACGATCGAGGAGTCCGGATGTTTGGTGCATCCGAGTCTCCCTCAGGGGCAATCATTGTGGACACAAGATGAGGCAAAGCAGCAGCAAAACACTGGAACTCCTCCTGCCTGTCTTCAAGGACGTCCGTGCTAAAAGCACACTCACCCTCGACGGACGGAGGACAGACAGACTCAAACTCAGCAACAAGACTAGCAGCGTAGTCTAGACGACAGCGAGCAGAAAAGTCGACAAGCTCAGCAACTAGGGCCGACGCAGCAGTGGACTCAAAGGAAGGGTCAATGACAACAGTGGCCAGGAGACGCGTGACAGTAGCACGAAGAGAGTCAGACTCCG